GCCGCTCAGGATAGACTCATCTAGTCATACACCATGGATGCACGCCAGGTCCAAACAGAATCTGCTAAGACTATATAGTGACGGAACAGCGGATGCAGGCCCATATCCTTGACACCAGGACCTACCGTGGAGCTGATCCGCCGACTGACCATCGGCTTGTAATCTGTAATATGTGCCTGCCATTCTATCACTGCGATGGTGGGCATCCACCGAGGAACCCATTCAAACCAACAATAGCCTGCTTTCACCTAGCTGATGAAAGTTCAAGCAAGAGTTTTGCCCTCACTTGCAGCTGGGAAATGGGTGAGGTTCAGGACTGTGGTTCATGCAGCTGCAATGGCGTGCGCAGTCCAGACCTCTCCAAAGTCCCTGGCTGACAGAGGTGTTCCAGCTAGCCGAAAGAAAGCAACAGGCCCAATTCGACTGTGTACAACATCCCACATTGAAGATTGAGGAGGCTTACCGCAGCCTTCACTCTGAGGTTTAGATAGCCGTGCGGCACTCCAAAGATGAGAAGTGATTGCGGGTTGCTGAGGAGATCTAATCTGCCTCAGTAGCCCATAATTATCACAAATCACTCAATAATTCCATCAAAAAAGTAACTTGCAATACCATACCTATCACCATTCTTAAGGGAAAGAACAGTGATCCAATCTCCAACCCCTATGAACAGGTCTGCAGGTTTGCAAAGCATTTTTGTGAGGTCTTGGAGGGGGTTAAGGGAAATTCCTCATCTCTGATAACGTCATTGGGCAAGGTGACCTTGCTGGGGCTGCCGTGCCTTACATATTGGAACAAGTATCCAGCTCCTGTGAGTGGCTGGCTGAGGTGCCATCTGTTGAGGAAGTACAAAAGGGGATCCAGAGTCTAAGACCTGGAAAAGTGTCGGGCAGAGATTACAGATGCAGTGGCATTTGTCTGTAGACTTCCCTATATGACATATTCACAACTCTCTAGACCACTGGATGGGTTTTTTTTAATTGGGTGAAATTGTGAATAACAGCCATATCAGACATTACTACATCTAATCGGCATAATCATTGGTTCACTGCAGCTCACTCCTACAAGGCGTGTGGTGAAGTTAGGAAATGTCCATGTGCTCGGCATTTCAAGGCCTGAAGACCAGAATCGGTTATTTCGCTGACAATGTATTCAGGAAGGCAGTTTCATATCTGGATAGCAGACTGAAGGGAGCTCCTGTCCAGGGAGCATGTTCTGGCAACTGGGGGGGCAGGGTGTGGCTTGGCAGGGTTGTGCATAATCAGGTGGCATGGTGTCTTTCATATGGGGGTGGAAGCATGGCCTGAAGGTCTGTTGGACAGTGGTTGGTTTTCTACAGGACTGTTGACAACAGCAACTTGTTGATGGTGATGCAGGCTGGCGATGCTTAGTTGTGTGCTGACAGTGGCTTCAACACTAATTATTTTCAGCGCCTTCCTCTGGATGCTGTCGAGAAAGTTGAGGCAAGTTGGTGGTGCATTCATCCAGCACAAAGAGGCGTGCTCCATGACACTGCGGACTTGAGCTTCATAGACTGTGGCTCAGTCCTCTCTGTCAAGTTTATTGGCCACCTTTCTCAGTGCACCCAGTTTCTATCCTCCTCTGATGTAGATAATGGTGAGATGTTTGATCATGTCAGCTTGCTGTCAATGGTAACACCAAGGATAATGAGCTAGGATATTGAGCTAGAGTCATCATGGAATTCTCTTCCGAGATATTGTCATGGTCTGGCACTTTGATGGTTCAAAGGTGATCTTCCATTTGTCTGGCCAGATGTTAATTCGATGAAGATCTTGTTCAGGCTAGGCTGCCACTGCATTGCTTTCTGCAGATAGCATGTTTTTTGTTTGCATTTTGACTGCAGGTATTGTGGTTAATGCAGACATGAATCCTTGTAAAAAGGTTTCAGTTTTGTTGCCAGAAAAAAGGGGAAAAACCCTATTATTACATTTTGGCACTGGCAAAGGAGGTCTAATGATGTAGATGTTCACCCCGAGCCCTCATTACTTTGATAGTGCATTGTCTTTGAGTTGTACGCCTTCTGGCGTCATCTGGTCGAGCACCAATTGGGTCGAGGCTCAAAAGAAAGCCGTCCCTTGGTGTGGACCAATCAGTTTCAAGGACAATGCATATATTATCATAGTGTGTTTTTTGTTTGTATTTTGACTGCAGGTATTGTGGTTAATGCAGACATGATTCCTTGTTAAAAGGTTTCAGTTTTGTTGCCAGAAAAAAGGGGAAAACCCTATTATTATTATGAGCAGGTAGTGCTTGGCTCGATGTGTGGGGCTGGATCTTTTGCATCTTGGAGATGGCATTTCTTTGCAAAAGTCTCACAGAACACTTCTGCTTTTGGCCTGCCTTCATATCCGCATCTCCAGTTTCCTAACCCTCCCACTCCCAGCCCCGCCCACTTTCCCTCCCCACCCCGGACTTTTTTTGCCGTGCTTGTTGCTTACTTGTAGCCTCCACTCCCCCTACCCCACACCCCCACCCTCCCTGTCTCTCCTCCCTGGCTCCTCCCCCTTCTCTTGCCTATATAGCCTTTTGTTGCAGCAGCCCCTTTTGCCCACTTCAGCAATTGTTTCCTGCTGTGGTTGTCCCACTTAATGACGGACGCTTGTGTTGTGCCCAAAACGTCGTGATTCAATTTATTTTATTTTATACCTACGTGACTTTACCGAAAGAACCAAAGAGTATACTTCTGCTTTATCTCGTGCTGTGATATGGGCAACATCGTTGTGCACAATGACAGGGATGTCAGAGTTCGCAGCTCTTCCAGAGAGGGAGTTGCCGAGCCTCCACTATTTCTTACTGATCAGTAAGCTCCTTCTTGAGTTTGATGTTGTAGTTCCTTCTAGCCTGCTTCTCAACCTGGTTGTAGGAGTGTCTTGCTTGGGAAAATTCTAGCTTGTTGGCGGCAGTATTGTTTTTCTTGAACTGGTGGAAGAGGCGTCACTTCTTCCTTGTAGCTCTCGTATACTTCTCGTCAAACCATGCCATATCTCCGGACTTTTCGGTTACACTTTTGCTGGAGATATGTCACTCCACAGCATTACAGATGATGTTAGTGACCTCGCTACATGTCTTCTCAGGGTCTTTCTCTGAGAAGACTCTTGACCAGGCTGTTGATCCGATGAAGCCTCTCATTCCCCAGTCGTTGCCTTTGTTGTATTGCCACACTTTCTGTACGCAGGGACATCAAGCAAGGACTGGGCTATGGTCGAAGGTACCCAGGTTGGAAAGCATTGTAAATACGGCGAGACAAAGTCCAGGATTTGGTCACCTCTTGTTGGAAATTCAACAATCTGTTGGAGGCTCAAGCAGCTTGCAAGCTGTAGCACTCGACAGCCAGCTGAATCTGTTGTTCGGCTCCCTAGCCAGTCTTCATGATGGACATTGAAGTCTCCCACCATCATTATGGAATGTGCATTGGACTGTCATTTTTGACAGGGTTTCAGTATCCAGGTAGTCAAATATGTTATTGTTAGCACTGGGTGGTCTGTACATGTCTCCTATGAACATAAGGTGACTGAGAGCTGCGTAAGTTCCATGTCTGTTGGATCTCTTTAGGAGTCATGATGGATGGCAATTCCTGTAGGGAGTAGACTGCAATGCCCCTTCCAGATAATGCAGCTCTTTCTCTTCGGCAGCACATGGTGTAACTGGGTATTGCAATGCAGTCTGCTCCGTCTTGAACAGTTGGGTCCGGGAATGTTTCTACCACGATGATAATTGTGGGTTCCCTGTCCTTGCACAAGTTGGCAAGTTCTCCGATGTTAGATCTCAGGCCACAGATGTTGACCTCAATGATTCGCAGTTCCTTGTCTCGTAGTCGAGAGGCAGGCACATGTCTTCGTTTTGGTCCGTCCTTTCGAGCCTTTGCTTTGTTTCTTGTAGTAATTGAAAGTAGGGTTCAAGGGTTGCTGGTTTTTGACCCCAGATACACTTGAGCAGTGTAGTGGAGGCATACACTATACATGACCTGATCTGAAAGCATCCAAAGACTCATAACAGATTGTACTCAGGCAAGAGCCACTCGGTCAAGGGTGAGGTGACCAGCGTTTTTGTTATACCCCCACTACCCCTGCAGGATTGGAATGATGCCATGGTGGTCCCTCTCTTTAAGAAGCAGGACCATACTGATTGTAACAACCACCAGGGTATATCCCTTTTCAATGTGCTGGGAATGGCTTAGGTAGCACCAATGTGATTTCAGGCCGCGGCGGTCCTGCACGGATGCAATATTCTGTCCATTTGCTACAGCAGACGAGTAGGGAAATTCAGCAGGACCTACATCTCTTCTTTATTGACCCAGTCAAGGCCTACAGTACCATCAATAGGCCAGGGCTCTGCGTTATTCTTTGTGCTTTCGTGATTGTGCGGCCGGGAGTCAGATCCATTTTCTGTTCACCTTGGGGTGTGAGAGGAATATCCTCTGGCCTCTACACTATTTAACACATTTTCTTTTACCACTGCCCGTATATGGACACCGGCGCTTGTGAGATAAAGATGGTCTGTGGTGCTGGCCACTTCACACCAAATTTTGCTATTCTGGCCTGAATAAGTGTTTGCTTACAGCACTTACCTCACTGGTGTATTTAAGGCTTGGCAGATGATTTTTATTTACATGTAAGTTCATGTGGGCATATGTACACAATTGTGTGCTCCTGTGCATGTGAAGTTTCTGTGTCAGCCTACGAGTATTTGTGCCTGCTTGTGTGCTTGTTTGCTGGTGCTCATGCATGTCTGTGCGAGTACGTGCAAATGCGCATGCACGTGTGTTTTTGCGTTTATGTGCTTGTACCTGCACGCATAAGTTTGAGCACGTATATTCTTGTGTGAGAAACACCTGTACTATGGTGTCCGACAAGGCTCCATCCAGTCTGAATTGATCTCCTCCCAATTCGCAAATTCACCTCCAACTTTAATGCCAATATTCATTTGCATACTGACCAGAGGATGTACATATGTTCACGCGTATGCATGTATGCTTGTGTACACGCGTAAGTACATGTGTTTTTATCAATATGTTGGTACTTTTCTGTTCTCCCTGGCGCGCCATCGCCCTGGCCCGTCACAGATCGGCTTCACGACGGACCCGCGCTCGTCGCGCTCGTCCCCGTACTGCACGGACGTGGCGCGCGTCGTCAACGCGCCCATCTTCCACGTGAACGCCGACGACCCCGAGGCCGTGACGCACGTGTGTCGCGTGGCGGCCGAGTGGAGGAACACGTTCCACAAGGACGTCGTCGTCGACCTGGTGGGTCCGAGTGGCTCTGTGTGTCCCCCCGTGGAATTGTGCGTGGCAGTACTCGGTGACGCAGGCGATGCCGGAAACAATGTCATCGAGGACTTTTGCCAGTGCAGTCTCAGTGCAGTAGGTTGGAATAAATATGAGCCTTGAGCTGGGTGAGGGAAACACATTCCCAAAGCTTGGAGGTGGAGGATTCATGGAACAATAGCTCACTGGGCCAGTCATGTTTCTTGGGTAGCGGTCTGACTTGACTAGTTTCATAATATGGAAAATACCTGACTGCAAATTAGACGTTGGTGATGTTGATTATCATAATTGAGAGTTCTGTGTGCAACGTTTGAACAGAGAACCTGGAAGGGTGTCCAGAGGAGATGAATTTATGTTAAATGCTTCGATTAGGGTGAAGGACATCCTTCAGCAAATGGGCAAGGACAGGAACATATGAGAAGTTGACATGGATTGGGGGGCCAGGGCATGAGAGAGGTTTGGGTGAAGTTTGAGCGGTGCCTTGATAGTTTCGGCAATGGTGGCAAGTTTGTTGACGTACACGCTGAATGAGGTTGTGAGTCTGATTAATGCAATGTGGGTCATGTTTACAAAGGTCACTAGAGCTTTCTGAGACAGTTTGGATGCAACCTTTGATTTAGGAGGTGCGTGATGTAAAGATCAGCTCATTTATCACATTGAAAGCTGCTCTGCAATGATCTGGGGTCAGTGGCAATATCTATAAGCACAACAACAATAACAATGGTGTCCATAGCAGCATAACTCCTGTTGAGAGCATCAAAATTAGAAACCAGTAACAGTAGACTAAGAACCACAGCACAGAGGTCGTAGAATCACTCCCCTCTGCTGGACCCTTCCCATGAGATATCCTGGCACCGCCAAGTCTCTGGCGAGAGCTTAATCAACTGAGGTGTCCACCTCGAGCAATCTCTTGGAGCCACTAGAGAACTGCATGCCAGTTGCACATTCTTTTGAAGAACCTGGGTCCCAGCCAGATGGCCACAACAATCTGAAGCAACTTAATCGATGGGGATCAGTAGTTGCACAAGATGTATCTGAGACCAACATCATTTGGTGTCCTTAACTTAAAACTGGCCTGTACTGTGCTACTTCAAGTTGGTGTTTGCATTTTACCTCCCATAATATAGCGCTGTAGTCTAAGAATAACACATTTCATGTAAACGCATGTAAATTATTATTACTTGGTATTTAAACTCATTTATCTTCTAATGGACATTATTTATTTAAATTAAAAACGGTTATATTGTAAATTTCACATTTATAAATGGTGTTAGGGCACCAAGTAATGAAGTGTGATCTCCAAGATAGTCAGTCTTTCTGCCATTGCTCGAATTGTTAGCCGCATGAATATATGTTACGTAAGGCATTGTTGGATATGGATGGGTGACCATCATCAAGGAACAAGAGGTCATTAGGGCTGAGGAGCTAGATGGTGTGCGGCAGTAGGCAGTGCAGCAAAATCAATTGTGGATTGTACTTCTATGCTCCCGTGTCTCTGCTGCCCACTATGTTAATGTCAAATACCCCCCCCCCCCCCAATATCCACACAGAGTTGGGAAGTCCTCGTCCAGCAACGGTCTAAGAAAACAGCTGCACGTGTACAAGACATTAATGAAGGTGGCGAGTTGACGTTGGTTTGTGCGTGCGTGGTGTCGATCGCAGGTTGGCTACCGCCGGAATGGCCACAATGAAGTTGACGAGCCCATGTTCACGCAGCCGTTCATGTACAAGCGGGTCGCACGGCAGGTGCCTGTGCTCAAGCAATACTCTGATGCCCTCATCAAGGAAGGGGTCACCACGGGCCAGGAGTACGAGGTACCCGGGTTATGAGATCGTTTTTTTTTAGGAGTCACGTCTGGCAACGGGGGAGATCTCAAATCCTAGGTTTATTGTATCTCCTTGCATTTCCATGAATTGTCACAATCCGAGGTCGCAAATGTGTTGCAAGATTTTATTACACTATGTAACACAATTTTTTTTCCTGGATAGTAAGAGTTATTTCGTAATTGCTTATGCATAAAAAGTATAGAAAATGGCTATTATTCCCCACAAACTTTGCTTTTGTGACCAGGACAGTGATATTTTGATATTTACATATTTTAAATGAGAAACGGGCGTATTTGTGTCTTTTCGTTCACATAAAGTCAGAAAAAAGAACATATGAATCAAAATTAACATGTATTGATACTAAAGTAACCACTTAGATGCCAGAGCTACCTGTCTGTCAATGACAATCGCACACAGAGTAAACCACGCAGCCAATTCCCTTCATCTCATCGATAAGGAACGTGATCATACGCACCGTTTATCACGAACACAACCAACCCGGTTACAGTAGAACCCACAAGCCTGAGAGGTATATTACCCGGATATCGGCCAGGCAGCCCCACCTCAACGGCACCAATGCGAGATGGCAGCACTGTACCCACTGCACTTATTTTGTCTGCACTTGGCTGTGGGTGTCTGTACGCGTGTCGTCACGCAGGTTTTGACCTGGGCCTTGCGATGTCCAGCCCCCACGCGCTCGTGTGCTGGGAGGCACAGTTCGGTGACTTCCACAACATGGCGCAGTGCATCATCGACCAGTTCATCTCCTCGGGCCAGGCCAAGTGGCTGCGGCAGAATGGGATTGTCCTGCTACTCCCACATGGCATGGAGGGAATGGTACGATCATGGTACCTTACAACAATTCACAGAGCCATCAACATTATTCATTCCAGCAATCTCTAGGTGTTATATGTAGAGTAAGTCAGCGTATACATTTCCCCATATTCCCCTTAACCACCAGATTTGGTTTTGGATTCAGAAGCTCAGATTCAATTTAAATTCCATTCAATCTGGTTATTCTCATTCCTAATTGAAATGGATATCAAGTGTGGAGAAAATACCATAGATGGGTGTGGTACTGCCCTCACCATACCTCATACTGCGTTGGGCTTAATGGTTGATTATAAGCATTTTTTAAAAATTTGAGTTGCATTTTATAATGCCAATAACAATATCATAATTTCAATTCCCAGTCAGGGGTTGATTCAGCCCTTCTTCTTCTTATTCTCTTCTTCGTCAATACAGTGAACACTGCGGTGTGGAAAGTCAATTTGCGGTTGTTTTGTAGAGATATTTTCCCTGCCATAGGAATATGGAATTATCACCATCAGGTCAGAGACACAAGCTGATATAATCACTGTTCTGAGCTTGTTTGAACACGGAGACAATTTAACTATTTATTTACAACAGCACGTGCAGCTATAGCTTGTGAAGATAAATTTAAACTTATGTCTGGCATTACGGTTAGCATTTTGTGCTTTGGACCCTATAACCTGAGTTCAATTCCATAGCGAGCTCAATTAATTTAATGAGCGAGTGATATTTGAACGGCTCCTGGGCATTTCCAAGGCCTTAAATGAATGCCTGGTGAGGTGTACAAACATTCGCATTGGGGGAGACAAATAGCATGGACTGACCATTACTACTCAAATTCTGTCCAAAATACGTAATCGCCAACAGCCTTTGCCACAACGGTTTGCTAAAGGCCACACTGGAGATATTTTCCCTTCCCTGTTCTGTATGTGCTCATGCATGTGTTGTGTGTGATGATAAATGGTTGCATAGTAGTTATAAGACTCTATTAATGTGCTAATTACTGCCCTCCTGGCATGGATTTGATACCAGGCTGTGGAAAACAGTGGTAAGTGGTATCTGAATCTGCTTTTGGACTCTAAGTTGGTTCAGCCTTAAACGAGTAACTGATTTAATGTGTAAATATCAGCACGAGCGAGACAGAGACAGTGGATAATCTAAGGCTAAATCAGGATCTTTTTCCGTGTATGTGTGTGAATTATAGGGTCCAGAACACTCCTCCGCAAGGCCAGAGAGGTTCCTTAAGATGTGCAATGACGACCCAGATGTTTTTCTGCTAAGGAATTGCAACCCTATCAAATGATGCTCATGTATGGCCAATGAAGAGCCACTATTAGGAGATTCTGTTTTAAATTATTTAACCATTCAATTGCTTTGTCTGGGAGTTGGTGAATTGCAGATACAGCACCTTAACATTTATATTTGGGGCAGCACAAGGTTACATGGTCCGTGGTGTGGTGCTCACAACCACAGTCTTCCATGGTTTGCGCAGATACGGTAAAGCGCTGCTTATTGTTTCTGCCTCCATGATCCATGTGTGTCTTCCGCCGCACTAAGCTTCAGGTCTTCTCGGCCACGGTCATTCCCTCCCTTCTCTACGCTTGCGAAACGTGGACCCCCCTAATGGAACATCTTCACCGGTTAGAAACATTTAGGCTAGCCTGCCTACGATCCATCCTGGGTTTAACCAGACTGGATTGTGTGAGGAGCTCACAAATCCCTGAAAGATCTGGGCAGGGTCCCATCGGTGAGCTCCTCCGGCAGGCAAGGCTGCGATGGCTGGGTCATGTAGCCCGCATGCCCAGCCACCGCATGCCGAAACAGCTTTTGTTTGGCCAGATTGAGGGGGCTAAGCGGGCGCGGCACGGGCTAGAGAGGAGATGGAGTGATGTGGTACAGGAGGACGTGGAGCTGAGTGGACTTGCCAATGACTGGTACCAGCGGTGTCAAGATCGGCCTCTGTGGAGGAGGCTCGTGAAGGATGCTACTGGGCAGTTGGAGGCAGTCGCCCTCCAACAACAACGGAGGGCGAAGGAGCGACGCTCACGGTGTGTCAGAATGTGTCTCTTGTGTGTGTATCTGCACGCGTGTTTGTCCCATACACATTCTTGCTGGCAGACAATTGTTGAGCACTTTGAGGTGCGTCAGATCTTCGATTCGAACTGGACGGTGGCCAACTGCTCGACGCCTGCCAACTACTTCCACATCCTCAGGAGGCAGATCCTCCTTCCCTTCCGCAAGCCGGTTTGTGACCCCAGAATAAATCCCTCTACATTTTAAACTAAACACATTGTTTTATTCACAGCATCCCAAAAGTCTGACAGATGTTTGAATCGGAAGTTTTTTACACAGCAGGTGTAGTGGCATTATAATCGAAAGGATGCTAAAAGTCATCCGTATTCAGAGTTGTTAGAAATAATCAAAGGTTGCCATTAACGTGGAAGCGTGGCAACTCTGCCATGGAAACGTCACAGGAGACTTGTCCGTTGGCTTGCATGACAATCACTTGATGGTAACGGCTCTGCCATTGGATGCCTCCCATTGGTTAGGAGCCAAACAGGTGACAACATAACGACTTTACCATTGGGACTACCATTGGTTTAGCGCTGAGCGCATGGCAGCATAAACAGCTCAGCCAATAAGCGAGGTGCAAGAAGCTCTAATTGGCTGTTTGTAAAATTGTTCTGAATTGGCGATTCTTTAAAGCGGCATTCATAAACGCCTTTGACAGCTTGATAAACAAGAATGACAGTTGCTGTTGAACTATATAAGGGGCATGTAATAGAGCAACTCAGGACCATTTGCTTCAACTCTAATAAACCTGTAAAAGACTGCCATGCCCATCAAGTGCTCGCTGAGTTGCACTGGCTTCTGGTTGCTGAACGGATACATTATAAGGTCGCACTCATTACACAAAAAGTGTTTGCCACAAATGAACCACAGTACCTTGCTAATCTCGTCAATTTATATAAACAATCACACGAACTCTGGTCATCCTCGCCGTGGCTTTTGGCTAGCCATTGAACAAAGACGATCAATGCATCGCGCCCATTCGGATGCGCTTCTATGCTAGTCTAGAACGGTCTTTCCGATATTTGGAAACCACTGGAGCTGTGCACTTTTAAAATCTAGATTGAAAACTAATTTCTTTAAAACTGCCTTTTACGTTTAGTTTGGTGTCCTTCCTCCGTACCTCCATTTTGCACAGTTGGCTACGTACGGTGCAAAATAAGTTCAACTTACACACATACGTGTGGTGGAACTTCTCCTAAACATGATTAATTACCAGCATGGTGCAGAATGTGCTGTTGGACACAATGTGCTGATGTCACTCACTTCTCAAGGTGTGACGATGTGAGATGCAGGGCAGATCTGCAGTTCCCTGTGCCCATGGTTCCAGGTCACCAAGCCAGTCAGGGCTTGGGATTAAATGCCACATGTTCATGTAGGGTAGGTAGGTAGGTGGAGCTCCTTAACTCCAGCCCCGCTGAACAAATAAACACATTCTCGTGTGTGTGTCACCCAAGTAAGCTTCGAAGAAGTAGTATATAGGTGAGCATAAATTCTCTGGTAAGCTTTGGAAATTTGAGTGTAAATGTTGTTCGTTGCAAAATTGGCGCAATAGCATAAGTATCATTTTTAAATTGTGTAATTAATGTATTATAATTAATAATTAACAATACATTATTAATAGGTGTAAAGTTGATTAGATCATGACAAATCTCGAATACAATTTAACTTTAGTATGTGCAGTAATCTTATAAAAGTTAAAAGGGGGAAAAATAATGAGAGTTAAAGTTTCCTGCCAACATTTGACCATTGTAAACCATAGACTGCGTTAGCAATGGTTATTAGATAGCAGGAGGTAGAAGTAATTGATCAAATGTGCAAATGTAGAAACTAATAACTCTGATATTCTTTGGGCCTTTCGGTAAAGTCAAATAAAGCAATCTATGTGACTATACCGAAAGACCCAAAGAACATGAATTCCTGCAGTCACGAAAGCTTTAGATCATAATAACTCTGATATAACGTAGGCTGTGAGAGGTTTTAAGGAACAATTTTTGAGGAAGGCTGATGCTTGAATAGTTTAGCAGGGTCAAGAGTGGCAAGATAAGTAACTCCCTTATAATGCAGTGGTACGTAAAAATGTCCCCCGTTATATATTTATACTTTTAAGGCAACAGTATTTTCAAATGTAAGTGTTTTGTTGTTTTTGTGAAACATAGATGCTTATGGTGGGGGACAATACAAGCCATATACGAAGATTCATAATAAAGGTTTTTGGGTTAGATCGCGTTATTTATAAATGTGT